GGCATGTAGTTACAGTCATTTTAAATGTTTAAAGACATAAAAACTTTTTATCCCTAGACTATCAACTTGTCTTTATACATTTACTACCAGTGGGATTTGGATATTGCATCGTATTGAGTACTTTATATTTTTACCTGTTTCAACAACATCAACATTCCCCCATAGACTTTACTGAATTTTAATCAGTTATGTAGTTGAGCCAAGGGAAGGCTGGGTGTCCCGAGTTATTATTGTTATAATGTTGGGCTCGACCTGGTACTTTTCATCATGAGATATTGATTATATAAAAAACATTTATTGTCGAACTTTACAAAAACAAATGAAATATATAGAGAGGACACTGTGAAGAGAAGTTATCCTTTCTTTAAAAGACTTACTAACTAAACATTTTCTGGTTGATTTGTCTCTTCAATCATCTCTTTCTGATAATCTAGTTGACTGTTTATAGAATATTCAGTGTAAAGAACTCGTGAAAATAAATGAGGTAAAAACACTGTTTTATGTATACTGGATCTGTGTTTCTTATTCAAAAAATATCATACAACTGTCGACAGTCTTTCTCATATTTTGTCAAAACATGTTTGCATAAAGTCTAAGGCTTAAACGAGTTTATGACATAGATGTTTTAATGTTCTCATTAGTGACTATTCCATTTAAAATTATCAACTTCATATGGTTTGTTTTGAATTTCGTGCAAAGCTACACGAGGGCTATCTGCGCTAGCCATCCCTAATTTAGCAGTGTAAGACTAGAGGGAAGGCAGCTAGTCATTACCACCCACCGTCAACTCGTAGGCTACTCTTTTAACAACGAATACTGGGATTGACCGTCACATAATAACGGCCCACGGCTGAAAGGGACGAGCATGTTTGGTGTGACAGGGATTCAAACCCGCGACCCTCAGATTACGAGTCGAGCACCCTAACCACCTGGCCATGCCGGGCCCATTTCATATGGACAACAAGGAATAACTTTGCTCTATTACAAGTTGCAAGCCCAAAATAATTACTTTATATCAGATAGAAATATTCAACATTAGAGACAACAGGTCATTTTATTTTCAGGTGACAGAAAAATCAAACACACAGTAGTGGAAATAAATGTGGAACTACAAACAGAAAATCAGTACAAACCATGTTCAAGTATATGCCAGCCACCCCACAGACAATACAGTTGATGACAATATAGTAGAACAGCAATACTGATGTGACACTCTGAGACTGGTTGTCATTCAACCAATCACAGAGTGCCACACCAGCTCACTGACTATTTAAAGATAAATTAATAACACCTCCCCAGTATGTGTGTAATGAAAATGGCATGTCCTCCTGGAAAGAAATATCTCATGACAGGATGTAACAGATACTGTTTTGGATGGTGAGGGATATTCCATGTGATCTAATGAACAGGCCTGATAAAGTGTTTTTTACTAGTGAACAGGCCTAACAAAGTGTTTTTACTAGTGAACAGGCCTGACAAAGTGTTTTTTACTAGTGAACAAGCCTGACAAAGTGTTTTGAACAGGCCTGACAGTGTTTTTTTACTAGTGAACAGGCCTGACTGTGTTTCTTACTAGTGAACAGGCCTAACAAAGTGTTTTTACTAGTGAGTCGAAGCCTGAGTTTTTTAATAATAAACAATGGCAACATATATATATAAAAAGGGAACAGTACCACTACCAAACAACAACAGCTATAAGGAAACACGAGGGTGAATTTATGCAATTATAGACTAGCATCTCCTCCAATGGCATCAGAGATTTAGTAAAAACTCAGAACACATCGACAAGTTATGGTAATTAATTATATAATCCTGCTTTAAAGAGAACAAGGTGCTTACATACCAAATACTCATATATATGCAGTTTTTAT